CACTCTGGGGCCAGCCAGAGGTGGTATTTGTCGGTTCTCTGAACTAGTCACAATTTTATAAAGAACTACTTTTACTCAATATTTTGCTCACTGATTTACATTATATGGTTGTTATGGGCTACTGAAATAAAGCGTGGAATATTCGGAATATTCTAAAGCAGCACCAAAATGTTAAATTATAGTTGTTTGAGATCATCCATCCAAAATTTGACAGTACAGCTAGGCACACTTGAAAAAGTTTTCGGAAGATGTGCTTTGAGCCTCATACACAAGCATATAATCTCCCTATACTTCATTAATGCAACAGCCCATGCTTTTTCCAGCTTCTGTTCAGTGAGACGGAATAAAAATGCTGTTGCTTAAAGCTTGACTGGGTTCACATATTGTTCTAAACCAGAGGTCTTCAAACTTGGCAGCTTTAAGACTTGTGGACTTCAATTCCAAGAATTCTCCAGCCAGCATAGCGTTGAAGTCCACAAGTGTTAAAGCTGCCAAGTTTGAAGACCTCTGTTCTAAACCCAATGTAGGTTGTTTGATTTTAGCTTATTATTTATTTATTTATTTATTTTATTAGTCATATTTCTATGCTGCCCGCTCTCCAAGGACTCTGGGCGGCTTACATCAAAGACAGTATACTAAATAGCATATTGCCCCCAACAATCTGGGTCCTCATTTTACCCACCTCGGAAGGATGGAAGGCTGAGTCAACCTTGAGCCGGTGAGATTTGATCCGCTGATCTGCTGAACTAGCAGTCAGCTGAAATAGCTGCAGTACTGCACTCTAACCACTGCGCCACCTCGGCTCTTATTAGAGGGTTGGGCAAATCCAATCACCATTTGTAACATGGCTTGTGGCTTGTGGTTTAGTGCAATGTCTGAAAAAGCCAGCCAATCTGACTGGTTCAACAAACTACGGTTAAGAAATCCAGGCCTAGTACAACAGTCTAAACCCAGCTTGTACATTTCACTTAAGATCTGAGACAGATCTAGATAAGTTTTAGATTTTATTTTTTTCAAACACGGGTGATCCAATCACCTACTGTGCATCTTTGTTCAAGCATCACTGTTGGTAACCTGAAACCCACATAGCATCTGGCAGGAAAGCATAACTCAATGAACTTGTCACCTTTTCCTGACTCCATCTGAAGATGGTGACCAAAGTAGATTTTTATGGCTTCGACACTATTTCAGTTTTTTTTCCAGACCAGCATTTTGCATTCTATTTATTCTGACAAGGACTCTTGGAAAATTAAAAAGCTTGCTGATTATCTTGATATTTTGGTTGGTCTCACTGAGGATTTTGGTTGATCATATGTTCTCCAAGGATTTAAACTGCTACTTACTACTTAACAATAGATATTTGTATGATTTGAGCAAATTATGACCTTGTTTAAACCAGACATACAGTATTTGCTTTAATTTCTAAACTAATCCCAGTTAGAAGAGTGGTGGTTACCTGGATTTGAGAGGTCTGGGTTCAAATCCCCCTTCATTCACTGGGTGACTTTGTGCCTGTCATTTAATCTTAGCCTAATCTGCTTTACAGGGAGGTTGCAAAGACTAAATGAGGGAGTTATAAAGGTCATTTTTGGGGCCTCTGAAGGATGCAGGTCACAGGGATTTTGAATTTGTTCTGGAATGTTTTGTTTTTCCTACTTTTAACCAAGGGAAAATTCTAACATTTCAAAGAATTGGGACAGGCCTGAATTACTTGCTAGTTGCTTTGTTATTCTGATGATAGCGCAACACAGAACTCCTGATGTTATAAACACAGGGACATGGATGATGACCAGAACAGCTGATGGAAATTATCAGGCTGATCAGTAAAACACAAAGGGAAGATTGAACACCAAAGCCCTAAATGGCTTGTAAGAGTGGTGCTATGGTCAGCACGAAGCCATTTTCTAATCCAGCAAGCCAGATATTCCTGGGAAGGCAGATAAAACCCATCAAAAGGCAAGATAGGTGGCTAGCAGTTCCATTGCTACAGGTACTTCAAAGGAGCTGGTGATATCTTCTACGGACAGATAGCAAATATACTCTGGTTCTGTCCAGTAGAGACTAGAAGATCAGATGTTGCCTGGTTTCAAGCTGTTCTTTCATACGGTTTCTGTATCTGATGTTATGTCCATGTCAGATTTAATCCTCTAAATGTCATATCCTAAACTGCAAGTAGTAAATTAATATATAAAGACAGTCTCAATTTTTCATTAGTGAATATGCAGTCTTATTAGACATTGTACAGCTGAAAGGCTTTTCTTATTTAATTTGTAAACTGCTTTACTCTTGATATTATGTGCTTCGTATAAAGGCTGTGTTTTCTGTGGGAACTGCACAAAGACATTTCTTTTCGGACTGGGAATAAACTGGAATTTGAGCATTTTAGATGCAACGGCAGATGTTTAGATCAGTTACAATGAATTCCTAATAATCTCTCTCTTGTTGTTTTTTTTAAGTTGATAGACTTTAATTCAGGTTTGCTCCTTTTAGAAAAAAATACCTACAGGTAGTCCTCAACTTTCAACAGTCCATTTAGCGACCATTTGATTTTACAACAGCACTGAAAAAAGTGACTTATGACCATTTTTCACACTTATGACCATCACAGCATCCCTATGGTCATATGATTTACATTCAGATAATTGAGAACCGGTTCATATTTATGACGGTTGCAGTTATCCCGGGGTCATGTCACCATCTTTTGTGACCTTCTGGCAAGCAGAGTCAATGGAGAAGCCAGATTCACTTAACAACCGCGTTACTAATTTAAGAACTGCAGTGATTCACCTAACAAATTTATTTATTATTTATTTTATTAGTCATATTTCTATGCCGCCCACTCTCCGAGGACTCTGGGCGGCTTACAACAATCGACAGTATACTAAATAGCATATTGCCCCCAACAATCTGGGTCCTCATTTTACCCACCTCGGAAGGATGGAAGGCTGAGTCAACCTTGAGCCGGTCAGATTTGATCCGCTGATCTGCTGAACTAGCAGTCAGCTGAAGTAGCTGCAGTACTGCACTCTAACCACTGCGCCACCTTGGCTCTTCATGTGGGAATGTGGGAAGGAAAATCATAAAAGGGGACAAAACTCACGTAACAAATTTCTTAGTTAGTAACATAAATTCTGGCCGTAAGTCGAGGACTACCTGTATTTTAGTATACATACACTGTATCATTATTGTTATAAATTATTTATCAAATATTTAAAACTGAGGAACTCTTGAGTTTAGTCTACAGCTTGGCAAGTTCCCAAAATATTTTTCAAATATTTGGCTCTTCTAGAAATATCCCGTGTGTCTAAAGTTTCAACAATTCACCACCAATGATCTCTGCAGACCAAAGCATGACTTAATTACGCCCCCCCCTTTCTCATATGCTTCTCTCTGAGATGTTTGCTGGGAGTCCAACACCTTGGCCGCATTCTTCCCAGCTCTGCCCCCACCACCTTAGTTTTCAAAGCCTTTCAGGGAGCCAAGCAGAATAATTCTCAACTTCCTTAGTAAAAGCTTATTTATGCTTATGTATGAACACACCATTTCTTTGAATTGACAGATTTTTCTTTCTTTTTCTTGTTTCTTGTTTTATTCATAAATATTTTTGAATACAGAGTATTGTCGGGGTATGCCAGACAGATTACTGAATATTTTTGCTAATCTTGCTGGTGGTAAATGCTACCTGTAAAACATTTTGTAAAGGTTTTTTTTATCTGCCGAAGCCATAGTGAATTTATAATTCCTGTCCCAAAGTGTTTGCCATTTCTCTAATTCTATACTATAACCAAAATTCTTTGCCCATACAATCATTGATTCTTTGACTTGCTCCTCCTCCATTTTAAATGTCAATAAGTAATTATATATATATATATATATATATATATTATCAATTTTTCATCCGTTCCGCATTAGAATCTTATCAAATGCTGTTGGTTCTTTATTTAAACCCCATATTTTAACGTCTTTCTCATATCCTGATTGTATCTGGAGATATGGCCACCAAGTTGAATATACTACCAAAATTACTCTTTCTATTTCAAACGATACCGATAAAATTAGAGAAGAAATTTTTTGATGAATTAAATAAAATAATCTTGAAGTATATATGGCAAGGTAAAAAAGCAAGAATAAAATGGAAAATGTTGCAGGAATCCAAAAGTAATGGGGGTTTTGGACTTCCAGACTGGGAACTATATTATCAGGCGTCAGTTCTTACATGGATAAAAGAATGGATAAATCTGAAAAATAGAAGGATACTATTATTAGAGGGACATGATCTCCAACTAGCTTGGCATGCTTTCCTTTGGTATGGTAGGCGTACGTGCACAGATATTTTCAAAGGCATTATATGAAGAATGTGTTGTTTTATATATGGGAAAAAATTAAACTACAACATTACGTGAAAATACCAGTCTGGCTCTCCACAATGGAAGCATTAATATATCCAAACCTTATCAATCTGGAAAAAAATGTATTCTACAAAGATATTCTGAATGAGAAAAGTGAGCTTAAATCTAGACAACAACTACAGAACCAAGGGGTGGCAGACTTTTCTTAATGTGCTATCATAATGTGATCACAGAATGTCCTAAAGTCAATGATGTTTAGGTTTTTTTTGGGGTGTGTGTGTGGAAGTGCTTAGATCATTTTGCTGCTGAAACTGAGAAAAAACTCAATTGGGAAACCGAGTCTTTAGACAAGAGTGATCAGGTTAGCAGAGCATCTGGGAACCCTGTTATTTGGATTATCACTCCATGCCACCCACCCAGCATCTCTGGTTGTCTTAAACCACATTCCTTTCCTTGCTCTGAGAAGCTTAGGGTGAGAGCACATGTAGAGAGTGTTTGTGAAGGGGAGGATCCAAATGGCAGATGGAGCTGCCCAGCACCACAGGGGTCAATTCATCCAATTCACATAAGGATAAGGAGTGAAAGCAAGGGGAGGACTGGGGGAAGGGGGCTGGGATACAAAGGTTTTAAGACAAGTCAAAAGGAAGCTACTGCTACAGTAGGAGTGAGTGGGTGTGTGAGAGAGATGACCCAGACTGAGGGAGGCACTGGCCAGATCTGTCTAAAGCTTTGAAAAGAAGGAGGCAACAGAAAGACACAAATGAGCTGAGAGACCCAGCAACTGGTGTGTGTGTGTGTGTGTGTGTGGTTTTTTTTTTGGTCTCCCTTCTACACAAGAACTTTGCCAAGATTTATCCTGCTGAGTGATCTGGAAATTAAAGAGCAAAAAAAAAAAAGGAAGAACTTCAGAGCACATTCTTCTTTTCTTCCAGCAGAAATGGAATTTGGCAACGATACCGACAATAACTCAAGCAGCTATGAATGTGACTACGACGACTGGAGTTCTTCCAAAATCCTAATTCCTTCCATCTATTTGCTTGTTTTCTTTCTGGGCACCACTGGCAATGGTTTGGTGCTATGGACCATTTTCCGAGGAGGACAAGAAAAGCGACGCTCAGCAGATACATTCATTGCAAACCTGGCAATCGCTGACCTGACCTTTGTGGTCACTTTGCCACTATGGGCCACCTATGTGGTCCTGGACTACCACTGGTCTTTTGGCTCTTTTGCCTGCAAACTCAGCAGCTACCTGGTCTTTGTCAATATGTACGCCAGTGTTTTCTGCCTCACAGGGCTCAGCTTTGACCGCTACTTGGCTATCGTTCGCCCTATAGCCAATGCCAAGCTGAGGTCAAAAGCTAGTGGACTTCTAATGACCATTGTGCTCTGGACTATGGCAGCTCTCCTGGCCCTGCCAGCCATGATTTTCCGGAGGACTGGAGTGTTCACTGAGAGTGACAAAGTGACATGTTTCATGGATTATTCAAGTGTGGCAACCAACAAGACTGAGGCAGCCTGGGAAGCAGGGCTTGGCTTGTCCTCCACCCTGATGGGATTTGTAATCCCCTTTGCCATCATGCTGATTTGCTACTTCTTCATTGCCCGTACGATTGCAGGTCACTTCCGAAAGGAGCGCAGTGAAGGGCTGAGGAAACGGAAGCGCCTGCTAACCATTATCATTGTCCTTGTGACCACTTTTGCGATCTGCTGGCTCCCCTTCCACTTGGTGAAAACCATCTACATGCTAATGGACTGGGAGGTGATGCCCTTGTCCTGCAGCTTCCATGCCTTCCTGAGCAACCTCCACCCATACTGCAGCTGCTTGGCCTATGTCAACAGCTGCCTCAATCCTTTTCTCTATGCCTTCTTTGACCCCCGCTTCCGACAAGCATGCACGGCTGTCCTCTGCTGCACGGCAGGGCATTTGCCTGGAGCTGCAGGAGACAAGTCAGCCAGCTATTCGTCTGGTCATAGCCAGAACCATCTAGGGAAGAACATGGAAGCAGGGCAGGAGAAACACTGCCCTGATAGCCAAGAGACTTTGCTTCATGGGTAAAAATGGAATAATGTCAAGCAGCCATGATAAACTTTGCATACAATGAATCTCTCCTCACCCACCCACCCCCCCTTTTTAATTCTTTTCCCTTGCATCATTCCATCATCGGATTCTGTTTCTTTTCTTAATGTCGCATTTTTAATTTTTTTAATTGGTAAGTCTGTTTTAACTGATGTAATATTCATCCCTTCCTTCTGTATTCTGCTTGGTTATCTGCTGTAACAATATCTATGTTATATAGGGGTTATGCTAGGAAGGGGGAAAAAAGTATTTCATTCTGTTCTAAAACACAATGCTGCATACACAGCTGATGGTTCTTCTAATGAAATTAACATGGACTTTTAAATGGACTCGTAGGGGCTTGTGCTAGTTGTTTGCAGCCCTGAGCTTTGAAATGTTTTGAAAACTTGCAATGGGTTTTTGAAATGTTCAGTGAAACAGTAGAACTGTGCACAAGTTGCATGAAATCAAGGGGTTCATTTTTAAGGGAATGCACTTGGGAGCTTGCTGCATATCTGGTCTGTCTATGGTCATGCTTTGGTGTTTCAGCTCTGTGGAACAGTTCCTGTTTAAGAAATGCTTCGATTCTACACCCCAGATTTTCTTAACTTTTTCTTATCATGCCACTTTGAGGCATGGTTTCTTGGCAGCTTCTAATTCCTTCATTTTCCTTATTCCATGGGAAGAAATGATTGCAGCCCCTGAAATTTCGAGTTTTAATATTCACCACAATGGAGAACTGGCACCATGGACAGAAAACTTCAATCTGCAAACCTATTTCTTCCTATGTATAAAGACAGCTTTTTCAAATAGATAGCAATTGTAGTTTGTTCTTTGCTCCATGCCTGTCCTGTCAAGTAAAGGCACTCAATTCAAAACTATTCTTTTTAAAAAAAAAAAAAATTCATGAATGGTTCATCAGTAAAATCTCTCTCTCCTTCTTTCTTTCTTTCTTTCTTTCTTTCTTTCTTTCTTTCTTTCTTTCTTTCTTTCTCTCTCTCTCTCTCTCTCTCTCTCTCTCTCTCTTCCTTTCTTTTCCTTCCTTCCTTCCTTCCTTCCTTCCTTCCTTCCTTCCTTCCTTCCTTCCTTCCTTCCTTCCTTCCTTCCTTAATTCCTTCCCCCAGAATAAAATGTAAAATTCTTGCTACTTAATAGATAATCTTAACAGAGGTTGGGAAATAGTATCATGCTTGCATTGATAAAAACGTTTTCTTTCTAAGTTTCTACTTTTATGTCATAAAAGTACTGAATAAAGTTTTAAGTCATGCAGAAAAATGCTTTGAGTCTCTTAAAGATTTCATTGAATTGATCTGCTGATTAAGAATTTTTATATAACGCTTTTAAAGGTGCAACCTTTATTATTAATAACTAAGGGGCAATGTAAAACTGGACAAGAAGTTGTACATTTATATAGACAATGATTTTTTTTTTAAAAAATCAAATCTTTTTTACTGTAAATTTTTTTGTTGCAATTAAATTTGCAAGGAAGTGCTTCAAACTGAAAAGTGGTTTTGAACATTAAAATATTCTTTCTGAATTAAAAAATAATCAATTAAGATATTCAATTGTATTCATATTATCCTATTATTATTCCATATATAGTTTTTTTAAAAAAAGATTCTATAGTTTATTCTAAATCTGAATTGCTGAGATAGAATTATAGATTTAAAATGTTTATAATGTATTTGGCAGTTTTCTTTATACAAGATAAAACAAAACATTCTTATCAGTTAGTAAAACATGGCTGGACATGTTATTACCCATCACCGTGACACATACATGTAAAAGAATGAAGAGATAAGTTTGCCCTGGACTGTTCCATTTTAGGGTAAAAATAGAAAGTTTAAATTTTAAATATACCCTTGAGAGTAAACACTGCCTTTCCAAATTTAGAGAACCACATTTCAGAAAAACATTTTCCCTGTCATGTTAGCTTTGTAGGCATATAGTAGGCTTAAAATGCAAGCAACTACAATCAGAAGTGATATAGCCCAACAAAACAACAACATCTTGATTCTGTTGAATGTATAAAATGACCTTGGGTGTGTTATCTTACTTTTTTAAAACTCTCAACGTAATATAAAATGATAGATTTTAAGATTCATTATCTAGTATGTTGAATCAGGGCCTAAAAAACCACCAGAGAAGGAACAGAGAGTATAGGGTCCTCACTGAGGGAGGTGAATTGTCAGATGATTGTCTTTGAACTCCTCTTTTATGTACAGGTATGAATATGCATAATGCAAAACAAAAAAGCTGGATAGTGTTTTTATTCTTTTATTAATATACATGGGATTCATTTTCAATTTTCCTACATCATCTCCTATTGTGATCAGAGCAGTACAGCTGGGGTGAATCTCATGAAATTGACTTACTGATTCAGAATGTGGATCCATCTAGGACAATACTGCTCACATTGAGTGGTGGCAACTGTCAAAGATTACAGCTGTGACTCTTTTCAGCCCTAGCTGGAGATGTTTGGGACTCCAACTGGGACCTCTTGTATGCAAATCGTATCTTCTGCTACTGAGGCTACAATCTCTCACCTAACTTTGGAAGATGGACAAAAGAAATCTGGAGCATTTAACTGGAGAATTAAATAAAACCTCAATGAATGTGTACCTCAGAGTTTTTATTGAAAAGAGTATGGTTTGAATGTTTTCCTTCCTTCCCTGTCTCTTCTGTGAGGCAGAAGAAAAACTGACATAGATTATTATGCATATATGAAATAGTCTTGGAGGGAAAGAAGGAGGTGGATGGGGTTGTCAACCCTTCTGCAACACTGGTTATAATACCAGAAGATGTCCCAGGTTCATAAAGGCCTGTCTATTTATGATGCCCATTGACCTTTTCATGAACACAACTCAGGGAACCGTTCTGATTCCACATTAGTGCCCCAAAGTTAGAAACCAACGTGCAAGAAATGCTTTGGAATTTCCCAAAATGTTTTGTCATGCAAAATGATAAAAGGAAAATAAAAGGGATGAAGAAGAAAAAAAGTAGTTAAGGTTCAAGGCAGAGGAACATTTCATTATTTCTGAGCTAAAACGGGGGATACATTGCAGACGTTAAAATTAGATTCTGTCAAATGCCGTTCAGATTTCAGATTGTACCTGAAAATCTCCCATGGGTGGCTGAGAAGAAGCTAATTAACAATGATGGATTTCTTCCCCCATTTGAAAATATAAAATACAGCTGTTAGAATCATTATTTGTCCTTAGCTGAAATACATGTTCCTTAGTAGGTGAAAAAAACCCTCTATGATTGATTGGAATTGTATACAGTGAATACACAAAATATGTTTAGTGGTATTTTTACGGGTGATCTACCCTGAAAATATGCCAATACTGAAAACTTGAAATGTGCATCTTATCAGGGGTAATGAGATAAGGAAAATATCCGGAAGAGAGATACTGTACATATGGGCTGAATTGATTAGCAAATGGGGAAGCTAGAAGAATCATTAAGTGCAAAGGAAATTATATAATGTCAAGGATGAAATGACAAATACTGTTCTATGCAAACTCCTTTTTGTAACTCTCCGGAAGATTTCTTTTTTTCTTGAAGGAATGGATTTGAAAACTTTTCCAAAGAGACACTAATGCTTGCAACCATATGACTAAGCATACTGGTTTTTGATTTTTGTTGTTGTTGTTGTTGTTGTTTGGCAATGGGGCAGGTTTATCATTTTTCTATGGGGAGGGTTATCAATGTGTATTCTGTTATTCATCCATTACACATAGATAGGTGTGTGAAGTTGACTGCAAACATCCTCTACTCCAGGGGTGGGCAATTATGGCCCCTTTATGACCTGTGAACTTCACCTCCCAGAATTCCTGAACTAGCCATACTGGGTCAGGAATTCTGGGAGTTGAAGTCCACAGATTGCAAAGGGTTTCAAGTTAGCTATTCCTGCCCTACTCTGTAAGTGTTTTCATAAACAAATTCACCTAACTTTGTATGGTCTCCTGCCAGCTTTGCCAGCTTTGCAGTAAGGGAGACGGCTGTAGCCAGACTGGGAAAGATTCAGGCCACAGGGTTTGATAACACATCCCAGCACTGAGTAGGAATAAAGTCTAGAGGTTATGAAAGCTTATTTTGTTTTTCCAATCATTTCTCTTTATTTTTCTTAAGGTTGCTTTATTGCTGCAGTTAAAGCGTGGGCATTGCAGGTTGTAGCTGGGCAATATAGAATCATACTCTCAAAATATTTTTTTGCTTCTCAAACGCATTAATCTCATTTGCAAAATAGTCTGGTTGAATTTGACCCCAAATTTATGGTGGTATTGGATTATGGTGGGTTTAGTATTGTGGAGGCAATGACATGGGTTGAGGTTGGTCATAACTGTGGAGGCATGGAGGAAAAGTAAATTCAGAGGCCAGGAGGTATCTTTAAGATGATTGAGGGTGGGACTTGTGGTGAAAGTAAAGACCTTCTTGGAAGTCAACCCAGAGGTACAACCAGAAAAGGAGCAACTCAGGAAAATCTCCCTTGATACCTATGCAAGTATGGTAGTTACCAGAAAATGTGGGATCAAGTTAGGCTTAGATAGTCTGAATCATTAGGTGATTTTGGCCTTTAAGCATATTCCTGCATTATTAGATTGCTAAAGGCTTTGTTTTTAGCAAATAAATGTTTCACCCAAATGTACCATGTCTTGTCTCTTTATTTGCTGGCAGGTTCCTAATAAGATTTTCTCTCTAGTCTCCCCACTGTGCCCATTTTGAAAATTAAGAGGGACAAATGGTAAACAAGGTGCCAAACTCCTGGTTCCTTTAAGTGGTGGGATTGTGTTAAGCCAACTGTGGTTGTGGGAAATCTGGAGGTAGAGCTGAGAAAAGAAAACTAATTTCATCTCCTTTGCAAGATTATTCCTTTCATGGGATAGGATCCCTGAAAAGAACATCAAAGAAGCTTCCCAACCTCAAAATAAACTTTCTGAAGTATTTTTTTTTTTTTTTTGCTTTAGTTTCTTCCTTGGGAAAAATCCTATCAGAAGCCACTTCCTTCAGTAGGGTCTATCTGTAAGAATCTCTAAGATATCTGAAATCCGATATTCATCTGATAACTTTCACTGGCTTCTTTCAACTTGATTGTAATCTGACCATGATATTGAATAAATGGAAATAACAAACAATTCCCTCAGGTCACAGGCAACAATCCAAAGAGGACCAGGCAACAACTTGATGGCTATTGCACATTTTTAAAGAAGTGGAAAGCTAGATTTTGTTCTGGCTAATAGATCTGAGGCACTCCAGTAGCTTTTCCCTGGCAGTGTTCATTATTTCAAATATGTATTGACATTTCTCATAAGTTCTTGTAATTTGTATTTCCTAATCAATTTAGTTTTAACTATGCTAAGATGGACATTTGAATAAGACCCAAAAGGCAAACTATCAATTGTTTGGAATACATAAATATTGGCTGAAGAGAGATGTGAGGAAACCCATATTTACCAAAGCTTACAAAAGCTAAACATTGCCATGGGTGCTGGAGAAATATTATCCATTCGTATGCATACAGTGGAAAGAGGATTGATAATCCCTTTTGGATAACCTTAAAAAAAATAGTGTGAGAATATGACAAAGAATTCAACATCTGTAACAAGACAATGGAGTTTTATTAAGCCAAATCAAATGGCACAAACACTATATTGGGAAGATGTTATAAAAAGCAGGTGGTGGGGAGAAAAAAAACCGAGTCCCAAAATTAGATCAGGTGCTACAGTCTGAGGTTTAAAATCAGTGTTGGGATGAGAATTAGTCACAGGTTTTATTGAATTTGATTACCCTTGGTGTTACTTAGATTGATGGTTCAGCTGTAGTTCCCCAGGTCCATAAATACAAAAACAATTTGGTCTTAGGTACATTGTCTCTAGTTGCACCCAAAAAGGTGGTATTTCTGGGTTGTCTTCTGAAATCTTAATAGGTACAAATTGCAGCCAAGCTTTTCGGAGATGCACAAGAAGAGCTGACTCTTCAGTTTGGTGAGATTACAAACTAAAATAAAAAGAGAAAAATCAACCCTGACAGCTGATTTACTTCCCCGCTGCTCTGAAATTCAATCTCTTTAATTTTGTTCTGTTTAGTTTTCACATCACATGTTGCAAAATGTTAATTTCTTCTTGGAGTTTTGTAAACAGTGCAATTGGCAAAAAGATCAAAGCAGCTGAACCGTGTTGTAACAGTGTCTCCTAAATGTAACACAAACGTTTCAAAACCCTGAATTGCAAGATCAAGGCAGATCTCTTTCCAGAGCTATCACTGTTGCAAGATAAATAAAATAAATGTTGTAAAACTGAATTGATAAGGGTTAGGGCTTAAGGGTTTGCTGGAAAAATGTGCTGCAAGACATTAATTCCCCTTTCACTGGAGAAAACAAGGGATGCTAAAATTAGACTTCCTTAGGAAAGTTAGATCTTCAACCTTAAAATATAATAGAGAAGCACTTTTCTATGTGTGTGTATATACATACACAATATAGAGTGATACAAGTAATACAATACATAGGATCTGTTGACTTCATTTCACAGCTCAGTTCAAGTAAAGTAATGGACACAATAATGGACCCATACAGTTGAAAAATCCACAGTCTGCAAGAGACTGGGATGAATCACAGCTGTCTACCACACTCTTCCTCTAACTGATGAACTTCAATTGTCTTGGATTCCAATTTCCACAATCCTCAAGAGGTTCACAGTCTACTGCATCTGGAAGGCAGCAAGATAGGAAAAAACATATTTACTCAAAAGTAATTGCCATGTGATCACTATGTATTCGTATCAGGTGGGCAATAGTGAATTTATGATGGAGATGCTCTAGGTGACAGAATATATCACAGTTTACATTGATAAAAAAAAGTTTTTCCTGGAAATTCAAGATAAAAAATAGAGAACTAAAATCAGAATGGAAATAGCATGCACAACTACATAGACTTTTAAGTGCATCTTTCTGGGTGTTCTTGCAACTATATATTGGGCAAAATGAACCATTAGACTACTTGCAATTTTGAATCATCTAACAAAGGATATTCTAGTGAGGTTGTATGTTTTATGTGCCAAATGTTGATTTGTGGTTAATTTTCCTACTCCCTGCATTTTTTTCAGTTACAACTTTAATAATTCAAGTTAATTATGAAAAAAAATGGTTGCTACCATTATTGGATCTTGAAGAGATCTTAAATATATTCATGATATATTTAGGCCAATATTTTTACTGAAGTATATGAGTATATTCAACTCTCTGTCTTTCTCTTTACTAACTGAGCTCCAATTCACACATTCTTCATATCAATATGAAATTGGGATTTGTAACTCCAGCCTCATAGCAAAAATGTGGAAATTACTCTGCTTAGTACAGATTTACTAAAACATTTTAGACACATGGTTATCAAGCCACTGAAGATCTCCAGTAAAGAAGAACATACCATTTAATGAGCAAATGTAGAGATGCATGTATGGGTAGCAAAGAAATGTGGGTGTAGATAGATATATTCTACTGGGTGGAAGACCTTCAGTGCATTCCTCTGATAGCTACTCTAGTTAGTCACAGTTTCAACTCACTGCACGACAGGGAACAAGTTCATTCCCTTTTCTACAAGACAATCTAATCAAAATCTGAA